AAAGAAGAATAAGAAAAAATAAAGTTGAGATTTCACCTTTATGTCTAGACGTTGCATAATGCAATTCGTTTTGGTATTTTAATTCCATCTCAGAGTGATTATTTCTTAAATGAAGTGAAAGGACTCTTGAAAATAAAATAGTCTTTTCAGTTTCATTTCATTTTAGAAATAAACTCTAATCCATCCTTTGATATTTAAAGTGCACTGCTCCTACTGTGTGCTTTTTTCACACTCTCCCTGATCTATAAAGGGTGCTTTCTTTATTTGATCATCAACAGAAGCAAAAGGCTAGGCAAGGAACTTTTCGAAGCGTGACCAGATTCCACGTATGCTTAAATGGGGGCATTAATGTATGTAGAAAAAACAGGATTAAGATCCCATGCAACGCTTCGAAATTTAAAAGAAAAATAAGAAAAATAAAGTTGAGATTCAACCTTTATGTCTAGACGTTGCATAATGCAATTCGTTTTGGTATTTTATTCCATCTCAGAGTGATTATAGAAGTTATTTTTTAAGGATAATAAAGATAAAGCTGTCCGGGTTTTTAAGATAATGCGTCAAAACAAATCGAACAAGCTGTTTATTTCTTTATTCATGGTCTGTTTCTACTTTTTATCTATTTTCATTGCCAACCCTCCAAAACGAATTTAGTATGCATTTCAAAGAGGAAGTTTGCATAGGAGAAATATATATATACAAATTATATATATATATATATATATATATATATACAAATTATTTATTGGGCTTATTTTGCTTTCTAATGGATCCAAACAATATGGCACAGCTTTAGGGGCCTGGAAGAGCCCCTACCAGGGATTCCAGGGCGGAGCCCCAGGATGCTCTCTAGTTTATTTGACTTTCAAGAGAAAGTGTCTCTTAGATATAAAGAGAGGTTATTTCTTCAATGAAGTGAAAGGACTCTTGAAAATAAAATAGCCCTTTCATTTCATTTTAGAAATAAACTCTAATCCATCCCTTGATATTTAAATTGCACTGCTCCTACTTCGTGCTTTGTTCACACTCTCCCTGTTCTATAAAGGGCAGTGGCGGATCCAGGGGTGGGCCGAAACGGCCGCGGCCCCCCCTATTGGCGAAGCAAAAAAAAAATGAGAAGGAAAAAGAGAAAGAAAAAAAGAAGGAAAAAAAGGGGGAAAAAGGAGAAGATAAAAGAAAAGAGAACAAAAAAGTAAAGAAAAGAGAGAGAGTTCAAAAAAGAGGAAAGAAAAAGAAGAGAGGAGCCGGGGAGAAAGAAAGACAACGAAATGGCACTAAAAATTAGTGACAGTAACGACGAATAAGGGAAAGACAAGGGGAAGGGGGGTGCGTGAAGGCGGATGCATTGAGGGGAGGGGGGGGAGGGGTGACTGGCCGTATTCTTATTTTTAGGTTATGCGAAACTGAGTCGAAATTATGCTTCTTTTCAAAACAATCTTAGCATGCTTGTTTATGTTAAGCCGGAGTGCATGAAAAGGTTAGTGTAGAAACACTTCTGAAAAGGCCGCGCCCGGCCCCTCCAAAGAACGGCAGAATGGTAATCTATAAATTATGGGGTCATTCTTGATGGCTTTGGAGTCGTTATTAAGGAGGGGGCCGGCCCTACTCAAATGGTAGTGACCGTAACGATGGATAAGGGAATAAGGAGAAGGGATGCACATGCAGGCGCGTACGCAGGGGGGGGGGGGGGGGGGGGGGGGGTGGGGGGGGGGGGGGGGGGGGAGGGGGGGAGGGGGGGGTCGAACCCCCCTCAAATTTTTGTCAAGTTGGTTCTGATGTGTATAATGCGTAGACCAGGGGTTCTCAAACTTTTTCTTTGACGGTCCAGAAGCGATTTCTATGAAAGCTGTAAGGTCCGAAATGACACTTGTATACTGAAGATAATGAGGCTTGTTTTTGGTCTATATCTGATCCAAGGAGAATTGTTACAGTTTAAAAAAACAGAACCGCCAGTGCTTCCACTCGTTTAAATAGAGTTTCCTGAAAAAGAACACCCAATATCCTGGAATTTGAAAGAATTTTCTTAAAACTCTCAAAATGCCTCTTACTTGGATTTCTTATTTGGATGAATCGCTATGAGCCTATGACGTTTTAATATAATTTATATCAATTATTGAGTGGGCTTATTTTGCTTTCTAATGATCCATACAACATGGCAGAGCTTGAGGGGTCTGGCAGAGCCTTTTCAAGAGAGAAATTGTCTTTAGGAGAAAAAAGAGGTTCTAAAATGAAATGAAAGGGTTATTGACTTTCAAGAGAGAAAATTGTCTATAAAGCTATGGTCACAAATTAGAGCAGCGACCGATCGATCAGTAGCCTGCTCGGTCGCTGCTGGAATTAGGCATCGCCCAGCGATTAGTTCGGTGCCCGGGCGGCGACCGCCCAGGCACCGAGCGTATTTTGGGCGGCGGATGAAAAGTGGGCAGGCGCCGCCCAAATTTTAACTCCGCGCTAAAACTTCAGCGGCGACCGAGCGATGCCCTAACAACGAGCGGTGACTGGCCGGTCGCCGCTCGGTGGCCGGGCAGCCGCCGGGCAGAATTGGTTAAAAACTCGCCGCTCGGCCGCCGAGCAGGCTACTTTTGGGTAATGTGACCATAGCATAAGAGAGGAAGAGAGGTTATTTCTAAAATGAAATGAAAGGGCTCTTGTCAAAATAAACTGTCTCGAAATAAACTCTCTTTCTCTCTAAAGGCCCGGTCACACAGCCTTTCGCGTCTGTATCGCGGGTAAAATTTCGCGATTTTTTTTTGCCCGCGGTTGCCCGTGGTGGAAAATGTGCAAAATTGGCTTACCCGCGGTTTACCCGTGGTATGCCCGCGGAACAGACACCGGCGACTGTTCCGCGTCCTTATCGCGGGTGAAGCGCGGCGGTACCGCGGCCTACCACGCTTACACGCGGTACACACGCTAATGCACGTGATAACAACGCGGTACAGACGCGGAACAAACGTGCTATGACCGTGCTCCACCCGCGATTACCCGCTAAAATTTCGCGTCCAATTCCGCGTGTAACCACGTCTTAACCGCGGCCGTAGCACGTATTAGCACGTTCGTTCCGCGTCTGTACCGCGTCTTTACCGCGTGTGTACCACGTGTACCGCCCGCGATTACCCGCGGTCTAAATTTTTGGGCAGCCCAAAACTTTTTCGCGCGGCCAACCGCGTGTGAATTTCTTACCGCGTGTAACGACGGGTAAAGTACGGCTGTATCGCGTCTTTATCGCGACCTCAAAGCGTCCAACAGCGTCTGCTTCACGGGCAGAAATTTTTGGCCGTGATTCGGCCGCGATACGCCCGTGGAGGGCTGTGTGACCGGGCCTTAATAGACGATTTTATGAGATGGAATCTTCAATCTGAAGCCTTTTTGTGCTCTTTGAAAATGGCACACTGAATGGGGGCAGTGCAATTTAAATTTCAAGGGATGGATTAGAGTTTTTATTGAGAGTCAAATAGCACTTTCATTTCATTTTAGAAATAAACTCTAATACATTCCTTGATATTTAAATTGCGCCGCCCCTATTGTGTCCTCTTTTTAAAGAGCACAACAGAGCCCTCAGATTAGGCAGCAAGTAGCAAAACAAACCCGTAACACTGGACACAACATTCAATGGGATGATGCCCATATCATTGAGTTTGAAACGCACTTCTGGTCAAGAATGGTAAAAGAAGCATCTGCATAAAAAGGATGAATCCTTCACTAAATAGGGATTCTTGCTATACACTTTTACCTTTGTGTAAATAATAAAAGGTCCACGGGTGTGGTTGTTAGAAGCTTAAACTACATAAAACTCTCTCCAATTTTGCAGGGGGAGAGCCTATGTCGGGAGTCTTTAATAATAAAAGGGATAAATCCTTCACTGAATAGGGATTCTTGCTATACGTTACCTTTCTTCGCTCCAGTGATCTCGAGGCAGCAGACAGCAAGAAAGTGTGTAAATAATTTGCTGTTGCCGCGAGTCTTGCATGGGGCGGAGCCCCAGGAAGTTCTTGAACTTTAACAAAAATTAGGAAATTCCAAATAGTCGTCATGAGCGATAGAAATTGTAATTTCCTCCTCTAGGTAACATGTTGATGTGTTTGTTAAATGTATTACCATGGTGCACCTTCTTGGTTACAAAAAAAATATGTGTATGTATTAACGTAAGTTCGTGCCTTTACATATCACAGTAGAAATCAATGTTTTATATTTGATGCAGAATAATATTAATATTTGGAGATTAGAAACACAAACAGTTTCCATAACCGTTCAAGTGTTTCAAGAAAAAGTTAAGCAAACTTTCTCCTGGATGTAAATTCCTAAATTATGCAAATAACATGAAGTATAATTAGAATTCTATTAATAATAATGAAGTACAAGTCGAGGAGGGTTAGCATATTTCCAGGTGCTAGGCAGTGAGATCACACAAAGGAAATTCAAAGAAAAGAATTTCAAATGAGGAAAGGAACCTTATAAATAGGGTTCGCGGGCGCACGTAGCCATCTTTTCAAAGAAGGAAGAGGTGTCAACAAACGAAAAACTCTCCCCAAAACAGAGTAAATATTTGTCCAAAAACCGAAATATCATATTATTGATCATAACAAAAGCTACAATAGATCAAATCCATTCAATCAATCATAATCAATCAAACAAAAACTACAATCGATCATATCCAATCAATCAAAACATAACTCCTGTCAAACAACAGCTAAAGTCCAAACAGACATGAAGCCAGGATATATACACTCCCAATTAAAAAAGAGAGAAGATTCTGTGATTTGAACAATAACAAAAATCCAGAAGGGAGGGAATCTTCAGCAAAAGATCTTGAAGGGAGGGACCCTCCTCGACTTGTACTTCATTATTATTAATAGAATTCTAATTATACTTCATGTTATTTGCATAATTTAGGAATTCTATTACATAACATTCGTACAAGTCTTCAGAGGGTTAGCATATTCAAAGAGCAGATCACAGAATCTGAAAAAAGACGAACTTACATGAATAAACAACCAACACTTGAATTGCAGGTGTATCAAATTTTTAATCATAACACGAACCTCAAAAATAATGAAGCATAAAAGGATTACTCAGATCTCCTTGACTAAATCAGTCTTGCTTAAAAGTAAACTACGATCACGTGAATCATGTAAATACCTCTCTAGTAACCTAGGATTTTCCTTTAATGGAACTGTACCAAAAATTGATTACCAAAGAGAAGCGAACCTTCTTCTCATTTAACATAGAGCCCTCTTTCGTGATAATGTCATGATATAGAACATAAATTTCAAGAAGCTTGAGCTAAAACCGAAAAAGCGAAAGTTCCATCTTCAACGACGGGTTTGTGGTAAAAGGTTTTGAATGTTCGGGCATTTGACCAGTCAGCTTTCTTCATTATTTCTTTCAAGGTGACCCCATGAGCGAAAGCAGAAGAAGTAGCGGCACTCCTGAAACTGTGCGCCGAAAATACTGATGTGTCAATGCCTGAAGCAAACAAAGAGAATTTTAACCATCTTGCCAAAGTACTGGAGGTTACCGATTTGTGAGGTTTTCTAGTTGAAATAAAGAGCTTCGTTTCCCCATGACATTCACGAAGAGGTTTGGTACGATTAAGATATTCCTTAAGAGTTAACAAAACACACAACTTCTTATTCGAAGGAAAAGAAGGAAGCTCAACTATTTGCTTAGCAATACCCTTTTTTGGAGTAGTCGTTTTTAAGACATCCATGACCTGAAAAACTGCACGATCATCTGAAATGTGCATGAAAGAGATATCTAAATGATTGAGAGTCTGTGTACGTTGCGCTGTAACAAGTGCGACTAACGACACAAGTTTTTGACTCAAATGAAACAAAGAAAGTTGATAATTTTCTGCCATTGAACACAAATAATCCAAAACCCTGGAGACTTCCCACGTGCTTTGGTACCTTGGTTTAGGAGGGTTTGCATTAAATATCCCCTTCAATAATCTTATTACCATGGGATGCTTGCCAACTGGAAAGCCTTCCATTGGTGGTAGTACAGAAGAAAGGCCAGAACGATAAGAATTAATAGTAGAGTAGGATTTTCCTAAACCCTGTTGAGCACTAAGAAAATTAATCACGTTTACAATACACGAGTCAAAGGGATCAAGCGATTGTGAATCACACCAGCGAAGCCACTGTTGCCAAGCCGATTCATATTGTTTGTTGGTTCCATCTCGCCAAGAGAGGGCGATGAGGCTGGAAGCGTGTTCCGAAAGGCCCGCTGAGCGCCAACCTTTGTTGAGATAATCCAGGCGGTTAGCTTGAGGTTTGGGAATGGGTTTGAATGTCCCACGAGAGAGTTCGGAGGTAGTAGAAGGGGTGGGGCGACAAGTAACTGAAGGATCATGGGATACCATGGCTGGGCTCGCCACAAAGGAGCGATTAGAAGGGCAATGTCCACCTTGTCCTCCCGAAGCTTCTGCAAGACCCTAGTAAGAAGACAAAAAGGAGGAAAGAGATATATGTTCAATGCATTCCAAGAGATGGTAAAAGCATCTACTGCAAAAGCACAAGGGTCATACTTCCAGGTTACATAACATGGTAATTGATTGTTGAAACGAGAAGAAAACAAATCAACGTCGAGACATACATTGAAATGCTGACAAATAGAGAAAAACCTATCGGGACAAAGATGAAGCTCTTTGTTTAGATCTCTACGTGAAAGCGTGTCTGCCTCAATATTTGCAATCCCAGCCAGGTGAGATGCAGAAAGCCAAATATTACGTTCAAAACACCATGACCAAATGGCCCGGGAGATTCCATCTAACATGGAGATACGCCCACCAAACTTCTTAATATAAGATACGGCGGAACTATTATCAGACTTAATATGAATATGGGCATTCATCCGTGAATTGCATAATGGTGATAATGCGTGTTGAATTGCAAGCAATTCCAGAACATTAATATGTAGATCGGCATATTTAGATGACCAAACCCCTTGAGAAAATGAATAATCATTCTCACAGAAAGCTCCCCATCCCGTGCTACTTGCATCTGTACGTAATGTGATGCTGATAGGAGGCATTTTAGCGGGCGTAGTGAATGCATCCGATGGGATCGAGAGCCACCATTGAATTTCGCATAATGCGTCGGTATTGAGAGACACAAAAGAATCGAAATTCCCACCTGAAGATTCAAGCGCTTTAGTTTTGAAAGATTCCAATTTGCGGTAATGAATCCTCCCTTTTGGAAAGGCCTCAAAGGAAGAAACAATAATGCCAATGAACTTCGCAAGGTCCCGAACAATGACCCGATTCGAAGCTAGAATAGAGCTTCCTACTGATTTCAATTTCTCCACCTTCTCACCAGGTAAACTTATCGACATACTAGCCGAATCAATGCAGAAACCCAGATAAGTTGTGTCAGTTTTAGGGGATAAACAAGACTTCTCGAAATTTATTTCGAATCCCAAAGATGATAATAAATTACACACAAAACTAGTGTGCTCGAGACTTGCTTGCCTCGAATTAGCGAAAATAATTATATCATCCAAATAAATCATAGAACGAATGCCCCTGCATCTTATAGCGGCCATCACCGGTTTCAAAACTTTTGTAAATACTCTAGGTGCTGAGCTTAGTCCAAATGGTAAACATTGAAAACAATAATAGGCCTTCTCCCACGAAAAACCTAAGAAACGGTGATGATCTTCATGAATCGGGATTGAAAAATAAGCGTCCCTCAAATCAATTGAGGTCATGAAATCAGATTGCATCATCAGATCTTGAACATTTTTAAACGTTTCCATTTTAAAATGATCATACTTGACAAAAGTGTTCAGGTTTTTCAAATTAATGACTGGTCTGCGTTCTCCCGATTTCTTCGGAATCGTGAAAATAGAAGACAAGAAAACAAGGTCCTGTCTAGATGTTTTTCTAATTGCATTTTTCTCGAGAAGGGAAACAATCTCCCTACTAATTGCTTCCTTCTCTATACGTAATTGCTCGGTGAGCAACGTTGAAAAGGAAGAGAGCAAAAATCAATTTTATAACCACCGATTGCGTCTAAAACCCAAGAAACAGACGTCAGACGCGACCACTCATCTTTGAAAAACCTGAGTCTCCCTGACTGGGAAAGGTCACTTACTAGTTTTTTGGGAAACCGGGCTTGTTAAACTTGCCCCGATCTGCGTTGTACTTGGACTGTGGAGCCTTGGAAACTGTCGCTGGGGCGCGAAACTCCTTAAATCCAGATGGGCCGCCGTTGCGATCCCTCGAAAAACGAGAATAATCCCGCTTGTCCTGCCGATATGGGGCTGGTCGCTGATAGTTGCGCTTGGCACGCCCCCTGAAGTTCTGAGGCGAAATTTTCTGACTGACCAGAAACGAGTCTCCGACCCCTTTAAGGGTCGCTTGAAATTCACTTCCAAAGAGGCCCTCAGATACCGATACTGAACGGCTGCAAATACCCTTGTACTTGGGGTTTAAAGAGGGCTTCAATTCTTCCCTACGCCTCATGCTCACTTCGTAGGAGGCAAAACCGCTTAGTGTGATACCGTCGAGGGCGAGACGCTTAATGCGGTTGGTATCCACATCGCGCTTCTCCGAAGCTGCGCTCTGTAACTCTGAAAGAATCTCCGCATAGGGAAGCAAACCTTTCACAATATGAGTCTGCAACTTCTGTGCACGACTATCGGCAGCACGATAATTCGGTGGAATTGAGCCCCACAGTTCCTGGGGAATCCTCGGCGTGCAAACCGCTGGAGCATTCTCCGGTGTAAGATATTGAGTAGCAATCTTCTCAATGCTTTCCTTCTTCGGAGGAAGCGTTACTGCTTTGGTCATGCGAGCCGCCAGGCTATCAGACACAGGCGATCTGAAATCCAATGTGCCCTTATACAGGTCACAATCGGGTGGAAAGAAACTCGAAACTACATTCGATTCCACCACACCCGGTGTCTCCAATAGATCCAACTCAGGGTCGTAACTATCCGCCCTGCTTGGCGACGAACAAATAGATACACTGTTATCAGCGAAAATGCTGAGCAAGTCATCATCAGGTAAATCGCCCCCATGCTTCGCACGTGGGACTGTCTCATTTTGATTTGTGGACATAACATCCATAAACCGAGACATCTTGGAAGAAAGCTTCCTAAGTTCTGCGGACTGGGCGGCGACTTTGCCCACCAGGGATTCCGCCGGATCAGTCCCCGTCGACTCATCGGCTCCCTGCTCGAAAATCTCCGTCTGCATGTCGAAGTCCGTCTGCATGTACTGTCGAAAGAAGGCTACGTGCGCCCGCGAACCCTATTTATAAGGTTCCTTTCCTCATTTGAAATTCTTTTCTTTGAATTTCCTTTGTGTGATCTCACTGCCTAGCACCTGGAAATATGCTAACCCTCTGAAGACTTGTACGAATGTTATGTAATAGAATTGGAATTTTAAGCGGTTTCATTGGAATTAATCGAGAAATTCCCCTCGCTAGCGTGTAAATAAAAAATACGCCGGCCGGTGTGACCGGGCCGTTTCTCCTACCAGTTTCGTTTGTCCGTCGGACATAATATGCGGGTTTTCTGCTCGCACGGATCGTCCGAGGGACGATCCGTGCGGATTGCTATCCGCGCAGTCTGTCCCCCCATTGTTTTACGTGTATATTTGATAAAAAGGAAGAAACTCGGCAAATCAATGTATTTAGACTCATTGTAAATCATGTGGTTGGCATTTTTTCTAGAAATTACATAATAATAACTCTTTACAATTTTTTAAAGCAAATGGGCCAGTCCTTTTGAAAGTAGAAGTGAATATTTTCTTTAAAATTACATTTATTCTATGAAGGCATACTCGTGATATTGGCCCCACAATACTGTTGTAATCGACTGTACGTGGCTTCGTACTTACGGTCAGATGAGCATATTTTAATACCATATTCATGACACTGGCAGGTCACTAATTGGCGTATGGTCCAAGGGGCGGAGCCCCCGGAAGCGCAGGGGTTTTAGACATTACAATTAAGGTCAGATTAGCATCCAGGGGCCAGCCTTAGGGCCCAAGATGGGGTCCAGGGGGCAGAGCCTCCGGAATTAGCTCAGGGGTATGGGCATTTAATTACGGTTACATGAGCATACTTTCTTTTCTATTTCTTTCTATTCAATTCTCTTTAATATACTTTTTCAAAAGTGTGGGGGTGGGAGGGGGGGGGGGCTTGAACCCCCCAAGCCCGCCGTTCCGCGGGACCTGACATGTCGGCCTCTAAATAGTAAATAAGCACATTTTTTGCCTGACTGTAAATTGTGATATATGTCATTCTCCAACAAACGCATAAAAAGTATTCAGCAACATCTGTATATCACTGGTATCAAATTAGAAAAAAATAATCACTTTTAAAGTTTATATTGGTGGGGGGGGGTAGGAACTGGCTGAATAGTTACACCTATGGTGTCGAGGGGCTCTTTCTTCATTTTTTTATTCGGTAATAAATAAGGTTAGTTGTGTGGGTGTCACTCAGGCGCGGATATACGGGGGGGCGATGGACCCGCCCCCCCCCCCCTCTTTGAAAAAATAAGAAATGAAAGGAAAGAAAAAAGAAAGGAAAGGGAAAAGTAAAGAAAGAAGGGCTAAAAACACGAGTTAGAAGTAGACCCATCAGGGCACTCACTTATCCGTATCAGGATGAAAAATACACGGGGGCTCGGGGTGAATTAGCCCCCGAAATGCCAAAAAGAGCCCCCGAAAGTCATAAAAATAACCCCCGAAATGTTTAAAGTATTTTTTCTCTGATCCGTATATAGGAAAAGGCCCTGGGGCAGCTTGCCATACTCCGATATTTGGGTCGTTTTCCGATCAGAACTAGCCCTAACTATCATTCCAGGATTTTTTGTTTCAGAACCTAAAACAAAGTTACCCAATCCCTTTAAGTTTAAAAAATAGACTTCATTGAACTGTAATTAGGCTTAGGAATCGGGGGGAGGGGGATTGGGGGGCGCAGAAAAAAAAATATTGGGGGGGGGGGGCTCAGAGATCATTGAGCCCCCCCCCCCCCCCCATATTTTTGGCGGGGCTTATAGATACCATTAATTGAGCCCCCAATCTTTTGGTGGGGCTTAGATATCATTGAGTCCTTAGGGGCTAAGATACCATTGAGCCCCCAATATTTTAAGTGGGCTCAGATATCATTGAGCCGCCCCCTAGACTTATTGCGGGGCTCGAATATCATGAACCCCCTCCTCCCCAATGATTATATTCTAGGCATGAAACTCATGTATACCTATAATCTACAGACGTACCATTCAAATATAAACATTTTATAAATATTTATTTAGGGAGGAGAGAGGGGGGGGGGCTCAGACATCGGATCTCGCTTATCATTGACCCCAAAAATATATTTGGTAGATCTCGGATATCATTTAAACCCCCAAATATTTTGGAGGGACTCTGATATCAATGAGCCCCCCCCCCCCCCCATATGTTGGTGGGGCTCAGATATCATAAGCCCCCCCCCCCCCTCAAGTATTTTTGGTGGGGCTCGGATAAAATCACGGAGCCCCCCGATATTTGTGTGGGGCTCGGATAACATCACGGAGCCCCCCGATATTTTTGAGGGGCCCGGATATCATTGAACCACCCCCCCCCCCCCCAAAAAAAAAAAAAAAAAAAAAAAAAAATATATATATATATATATATATATATATTTCAGCCGGGCTCGGTTATCATGAGCCCCCTCCCCAATATTTTGTTCGTGCTGATGAGTTGAGGGAAGTGTATGCCGGAGATATTGACTTTGTAGCATTAACTCGGCAGCTAACAAGCCTCCAAGACGTGTGCGACGATGAGAGTAAACCTATCAAATATACATCAAAACAATCTGTGAGATTTTCAACAACAGTCCAATCTATCAGAGATCATTCTCAGAGGTGCACATCCTTCTTCTCATTTACCTTACAATCCCGGTTACAACGGCAACATGCGAGAGAACATTCTCTGTCTTGAAACGGATCAAAACTTCTCTGATAAGTACAATGACCCAAAGAAATCTCAACCAAAGCTTAATATTACACGAAATCTCGTAAAGATAAACTGAACTTGAAAACTATTGCCCAAACTTTGTTTTCAGGAATACAAGAAGACAGAACTTCTTTGGCACATTTGTCTGAGGCTGCATGAAAAGAAGAAAAGTCTGAAATTTTTCGCCGCGATGACATAGACGAGGAACAAAGAATTTATTTTCAGGTGCAAATTAAAGACAAAGACAAAGTGCCACATTTCCGTTTTTAAATATGTCCGATTATAGGCATGTGTGACAATAAAAGTTTTGTTTTTCACGTTCCTGGGGCATTATTTTTTCCAAAGGTGTTACATGTGTGTTTTGTCATACTTAATAAAATAAACTGAATATCTTATAATTCAACGATTTCTTCAAGTAGGCCTACTTTTATTAATTTCTTCAACTGCTTAAAAGTAAGGCTACAAATGCTTTGTTATTGTAGAGCTGTAGTGTGAACAGGCTACTTAGTAATTCACATGTATAGATTGGTGCACATCATTATGCTTGATCATCCTCTCCTATCTGTTTGTTTTCATTCCTCTGTTAGTCATCCTTTATTTGCTACCTATGAAAGGGATCAAAACTTCTCTGATAAGTACAATGACCCAAAGAAATCTCAACCAAAGCTTAATATTACACGAAATCTCGTAAAGATAAACTGAACTTGAAAACTATTGCCCAAACTTTGTTTTCAGGAATACAAGAAGACAGAACTTCTTTGGCACATTTGTCTGAGGCTGCATGAAAAGAAGAAAAGTCTGAAATTTTTCGCCGCGATGACATAGACGAGGAACAAAGAATTTATTTTCAGGTGCAAATTAAAGACAAAGACAAAGTGCCACATTTCCGTTTTTAAATATGTCCGATTATAGGCATGTGTGACAATAAAAGTTTTGTTTTTCACGTTCCTGGGGTATTATTTTTTCCAAAGGTGTTAAATGTGTGTTTTGTCATACTTAATAAAATAAACTGAATATCTTATAATTCAACGATTTCTTCAAGTAGGCCTACTTTTATTAATTTCTGCAACTGCTTAAAAGTAAGGCTACAAATGCTTTGTTATTGTAGAGCTGTAGTGTGAACAGGCTACTTAGTAATTCACATGTATAGATTGGTGCACATCATTATGCTTGATCATCCTCTCCTATCTGTTTGTTTTCATTCCTCTGTTAGTCATCCTTTATTTGCTACCTATGATATTTGAATATTCATTA